CTCACACATGGCCTATGTAACTCAGAGGAAGGTATCAGTCTACTTTTCACTGGCAAAGCGTTTTAAGCACGGCACAAGCACCCTTGTTTCCTCTCCTTCCCGTGAGCTCGTGTCACAGCATAGAGTGACCGACCATGTGCAGTGACAACACAGCAACCAACTAGAAGCTGCCTCGAGAGGCAGCTCCATCTGGAAAGCTGGGCTGGGTCCCCCAGGACCAAGGCCAGGTCCAGAACTTTCCCTCAGGCCGCCCCTCAGCCTCCACTGGGGAGGGTGGGTATCCAGCAGGGAGTGAGGACCGTCCCCTTGGCAGGGGGCATGTTTCCCATTGCTAAGGATTCTTGCTAAGGAAAGCAGAAAGAAGATCAAACAGCACTGGCCCTTCTCTCTGCAAGTGCACAATTCATACTCCGCTCCGGCTGCAGGTGTAAAGTTATAACTCTTCCCAGACCAGCTTCTGCTTCCCGTCCAATAAACCTGGAGAAACTGAGGCCGTCTTTTCCTAGTCTTAAAATTACCTTGACTACAAGAGATGAATTTACTTCCTAGCAATGCTAAGGGGAAGGGGTTTTCTCTGTCACCTGAGCCCTGACATCTTTTATTTCTGAGAGTGTTCAGTCTTAAGCTGACGTTGCAATATAACCATTGTCTTCACATAAAGAAATGGAGGTGGCCAGAGTGATGGAGGCCAAGCAGAGGAAAAGGCACTGTGCCCAGCAATCCTGCTACAGAAGCCAGAGCCAGTGGGGAAAGGTGCCGGCCGGGGCTCCCCTCTGAGGCTCGGGGATCCCATGTGACCTCAGTGTTCCTGAACCACCCTGAAACCTGATCACCTGCACCAGGGCTTCAGCGAGTGAGAGTTAAATTAACTGCATGAGGCCCAGCATGAAAAGTCACTGTTATCTAGAGACGCTGGGAAGTCTTGATTCGCCCTGGTGAAGAGAGAAAGCTACAGTGTGGCCAAATGAAAGATGGAAATCAACCTCCAATTCAACTGGACAGTCCAAGCAACTTGTGAAGACCTGCCAAATTAAATGATTTGCTTCTGCTTATTTCTGATCCAGCCCTTTGGCAGAAGTGACACAGGAAGGCACAGCCACGGTGCACAGAGAAGCACCCAGCAGGCATGGGAGCATCTGGAGGCGGGCAGGGCTGTATGGCGTAAAATCACAGAACAGGTATTGCTGCGCCGGGAAGCACCACGGCAGATGGACAAAATGAGTAACAAAACCAGTAGCCGATATTGAAAATGCAGCTTGATTTGTTTAAGCAAAACCTTTTTTATAAAAAGCTGTACTGCTTGGGCGGCTGGGTCAACTGACCCGAGGGGACGGTCGAGCCGATTTAGGCCGCTCTCTGCCACCTTGGAATCGCCGCCACCACGGCCAGTCGGTCGCAGGGCATCCAGCAGCTGCTCCAGGCCAAGAAGCGGGCCGCCAAGGAGGTGGCCGAGGACCACAAGAAAAGAACTGGAGGCTGAAGCAGGCCAAAGCAGCAGCCCAGGCTGGAATTGAACAGTACCGCCTGCAGAGGGAGAAGGAGTTCAAGGCCAAGGAGGCCGCGGCTCTGGGATCCCATGGCAGTTGCAGCACTGAAGCGGAGGACCCGCAGGAGAAGATGACCATCCTCCAGACCTACTTCCGGCAGAAGAGGGATGAACTCCTGGATAACCTCTTGGCCTTTGACTGCGACATCCAGCCAGAAATCCACAAAAACTACCACAAAAACGGATAAAGGAAGAAAAGAACCGCCTGTTGTTGCATGGACTGGCATTTTCGATCCCCTCATGGAATCTGAAGCTTTAGCAAGGCTTGAGTCATAGTCTTGCGAAAAGTCATTAGATTATTTCTGTATGTTATACAGTAGGTCCCTTCACTTTTTGCAGAACAGCAAATCTAGCTTCTTTGTACAAACTTAGAGCTTATCCAAAGATTTTTATCTTTTTAAAATGTATTTATTTATTTATGTATTTATTTTTGGCTGTGTTGAGTCTTTGTTGCTGTGTGCAGGCTTTCTCTAGTTGTCGTGAGCGCGGGCCACTCTTCATTGCGGTGCGCAGGCTTCTCATTGCGGTGGCTTCTCTTGCTGCGGAGCACAGGCTCTAGGCACACGGGCTCAGTAGTTGTGGCGCACAGGCTTCAGTAGCTGTGGCACGCGGGTTTAGTTGCTCCGCGGCATGTGGGATCTTCCCAGACCAGGGTTCGAACCCGTGTCCCCTGCACTGGCAGGTGGATTCTTAATCAGTGCGCCACCAGGGAAGTCCCAAGATTTTATCTTTTTACCTCATATTTCTTGGAAATTTAATGTGTATACACTGTCTTTTTTCCTATGCCTTTTCGCTCAAGCAACATATATATCAATACTGACTTTTTCTTTCTTAGATGTAGTTAAAAAAAAATTTCTTAACAAAGAAAGAGATGAATTTTTTTTCCCTAAATCTTTCTTGAAGGTCAGGGGCTTTATCTATGAAAAAGTAGTAAATAGTTATTTGTAACCTATGTGATGCAGCAGCCAGCCTTAAAATAGTCCTTTCCGGCTAAGAGTTAGAATAATGGATACTAGTATCATTGTTTGGGCTGCTTTTAGTTTCCCTTAATCAAAATTACTAGATGGTAGTCCTACCATATAGCACAGGGAACTATATTCAATATCCTGTGATAAACCATAATGGAAAAGAATATGAAAAAGAATGTATATATGTGTATAACTGAGTCACTTTGCTGCACAGCAGTCATTAACACAACACTGTAAATCAATTATACTTCAATAAAAAATAAATTTAAAAAATTACTAGATGATGGAATTCAAGAACTTGCTACATGTTACTACTTGGTGTACTGAAAATCATTTAAAAGTAAGGACTCTCTGTCATGCAAAAAAAAAAAACTGTACTGACTAGGGATAATTAAAGGAACTCTCATTGTAGATCCAAATCACCAGAGAATGCGCGCGCATGCACGCGCGCGCATGCACGCGCGCGCGCGCGCACACACACACACACGCGCGTGCGCGCGCGCGCGCTGCTACAGGTAGTGGTAGAGAAAGCAAAAAGCTGACTGTAAGGTTAAATGCCTGCAGCTCATGCTAAGCACGTGGACAGCTTACCAAACCCTGCCACATGGGGGACCTGCAGGGGGCATGGCAGTGTCTCAGGGCCAGAAAAGCCAAGCCCCTCCAGGCAAGACCCAGCTCACCTTTCTGTTGTGTCTCCCTTGGTGTCTATAATATGTCCTTAATAAAAAGCGGACAAACGAATCATCAACCAAACTAATCCTGGGTGATTAACAAAGTGAATGTCAACCTCGTGTTAAACAACAGGGTTTGACGTGCCAGTTAATTACCTTTTATGTGAGGTGGGATCATTATCTTTGTCAAACACATTCTGTGTAACCTCCCTATAAAGAGTAATACTGCAGTCACATTTGACACACTGTCATTGTGTCTGCACACAGGATGCGAGAGTGGCACGCTGCCCACATTTACCAAGAAATAGTAGCCACGTGGATTCCTGCCATTTGCTGAAGGCTGACTATGTAGCAGGCACTGGTACTGCACTCGGACAATTTAGCCCAATGATCACTGCTATGGACATCATGCCCCCCAAACTTCATATGGTTAGCCCTAACCCCCAATAGGATGGTATTTGGAAATGGGGCCTTTGGGGGTGATTAGATTTAGATGAGGTCATGAGGGTGGGGCCCCATGAAGGGATTAGTGTCCTTAAAGAAACAGAAGAGACACCAGAGACCAGAGCCCCCCACCCAAAAATAGCACCATGTCAGGACACAGCAAAGAGGCAGTCATCTGATAATGAATTTGCCAGCGCCGTGACCTTGGACTTCCAGCCTCTAGAACTGTTGAGAAGTAAATGTCTGCTCTTTAAGTCACTCAGTCTACAGTATTTTGTCAGAGCAACCAGGCTACGACAGTCCCCACTGACACATGAGAAGAGTCAACACAGAAGGTATGAAGCACAAGCCCAAGTTCAGCAAGTGAAACCAAGCTCTGAATCAAAAGGGAGTATACTTTGGACCAACAAGAATACAATGCCCTTTCTTAGGAAAATTAATTCTTTCAGACCACCAATATCACCATTTATAAAATAACTCCTGTTCATTGAATTTGCTCACTTCATATAACTCACAAATGATAAGAACTTCATCCCCAAACTCTTAGTAGGGATAAAGTTCTAATTGTAAAGATGTCAATTTTACAGGAGGAAGACCTATAGATCAGGCTGCCCAACTGAAAGTACTGTGAGGATGGAAATGTTATCTGTGCTGCCCAATGCAGTGGCCACTAGCCCAGTAGTCCTCAACTTGGGACAAACGTGCCCTCCAGGAAACACTGGGCAATATCTGGAGACAGTTTTGGCTCACAACTGGGTGAGAGGGTGCTACTGGCATCTGGGGGGGGTCAAGGACAGGGGTGCTGCTAAACATCCTCTGGTGCACAGGACAGCTCCACCACAAACAGTTATTTGGTCCAAAATGTCATGAGCACTGAGGTGGAGAAAACCTGCACTAGTCACATGTGACTGAGCATTTCAGATGTGGCTACTGAGACTGGGAACTAAAATTTTAATCTTATTTAACTTCAATTAATTTAAACTTTAGAATTAAAAAATTTAAGAGACTAAAACTAACAAAACAGGAATTCAAATGTAAATAGCCGGGCTTCCCTGGTGGCGCAGTGGTTGAGAGTCCGCCTGCCGATGCGGGGGACATGGGTTCGCAAACCAACAAATGTAAATAGCCATATGTGTTTCAGACAGCACAGCTATCAAGAATGTGCGTAAATATAAAATAAAGGTCTTATTTCCCAAGGAAACAAGAAGAAACTATCTTCAGGGAAAAGAAAGGTCTGATCCTTAGGATTGGCAAATAGTAAGCATAAATAAAAGCATAAAAGTGAACACCCATGAAGCTTTAGGACACATGTCCCGGCACCAAACAGGAAATCGCAGGGAAACTCTCCCTCTGTCACTGCAGGCCACTCACTCTTGCAGGGTCTCCACCCCCTTTTCTTTGTACTGCAGTTCTTGCTTCATCTGGGTCAGCTCTCGTTTTAATCTGGAAAGCTAAAGACAAATTACATTTTTTTTTTCCACAAAAAGAAGCTGTGAAAAATGATTTCTACAGTTCTTAGCATTGTCATCTAAGTTTCTCACTACCTTGCAATTCACGGGGTCACCCATTCTCTCCATGGCCTTCCATCCCTGGCATATCAAACAGCCCTGGCATATCAAACAGCCCTGGCAGAGGGGCCGGCTCGCTTAGACACAAAAGGCCCAGGTCACAAACAGCTTTCTACCACGTGGAGCCCTGGAACCAGCAATGATTTTCTTTTTCAAGGTATTGATTTACACATTGCAATGAGCAAACTTTGTCATACTTTTTTCATCCTCTCTTCTGCTTACTACCCAGATCCCACCTAGGAAACCCTGTTGCTCAAAGCATGGCTTCCCACTACCTGGAAGTCAGTCGCCTGCAGTGCGTATTTAAACAGATGATAGGACCCACTCCAGGCCTTGTTAAAACTCGGTGGGGGCGAGGCGGGGGGTGTCTGGAGCTCACACTTTGAACTGATGCCCCAGGTGTTTTTCGTTGGTGTACTAGAATGTGAGAACCACGGCACTAAAAGAGACACTCTGGTTTAGGGACTGAGACACCAGGACAGGAGGCTTGGCCTCTAAGATGTCTCCCGTTCCCCGCTTCCAGACACCCAAGACAAGGCGCTGAAGGGATGGAACACGGTGGCACACAAAGAACCCGGCACCACTGGCAGGGAGCACCGGTACCTTCTGGTCAAACGCCATCGTAGGCAAGATTTCTCTGGGAATACAGCCACCAGGGAAGAACAGCAGATGCTAAAGCTGCTGAGGGACAGGCCTGGCAGCCCACTAATACAGGGAAGCAGCCCTCTGAGGTCGGGCCCCAATGTCACCAAATCTTTCCAAACGGGGGGTCAATCTAGTCCCATGAAACACACTGAGGGATACAGGTGATTTTTTGTTAGATGGGCTGAGGCTTTAAAATGAAACTTTTCCCTTCCTATCGGAAAAAAAAAAGTGGAAAGTAAAACCAAATGTGGTAATAATTCATGAAATGGAAAATCTTACTAAAATATGGGTGTTATACACACTGGCCACCATAAAATGAACCATGATAAGTGATGTTACATAAAAAGACATACGGGGCTTCTAGTTGTGAAAATATCCATTTTACTCACCCTATCCCGACGACTTGCTATTTCTGCTTTAATTTGGTATGGGTCGTACTTTGTATTTGTTGAATATCCAAAGAAGGCTAAACAGAAGGAAAATATTTTATTTTATAATGGATCCTTTAAAGTAAATAAATACACATAGATAGGAACTTCTGATTCACCATATTAAGCAGTTAATTCTCGGCCTCAGACTTCCAAGTTGGCGCCGGCTCCTGAAGAATTAACATTTTACAACCTTGAATCTTGATGTTTGATTTTTGCATGAGGCCCTTCTCCGTGAATCCACATGATAAAATATATGGCTACAGGTAAATCAAAACTCTGTTTACTTCAACTGCAAAACTACTAGGGTTAAAAACCATATATACACGGGGGGAGGGGTACGGTTATGGTATAGAAAACTATTCTAACTATGTAAACAGCACATACAGTATGAACACATTTTTACTTCCTTTTAAAATGCACGCACCCATGGAAGTCACTGGAAAAAAAGAACCCAAAAGTTGACTGCTATTCTCAATGGTTTCATTGCAAAAGATTTTATATTCACTCTCTTCATATCTATAGTCTCCACATGAACGATTTTTGACATAAGAAAGGAAAAAAAACCCAAAGATTTGTAAAATGAAAAAGACAACTTTCTAGTCACGTATCAGTATCTGGCAGGCTTGAGGAAAAGCTATTCTTCCACGTTTTTGGTTCCCCGAAAGCTGAAGCAAAGCACCCACGCTGTTATTCTAAGCAGCTTGTTTTTGAGAGACGTTTAGCTAAATCACATTGCATAGATAAATGCTTTCTTCAGCGGTGCAGCACACATGATTTAAAGCCTTTTAACAGACACAGCATCGTGATTACAGACGGCTAATACCTGGGGGTGAATGAGGTGCGCTCAGCCGTCCAGCTGTGTGCTAAGCACAGTCAGCCAGGCCCTCTCCGCTGTCTCAGCAACTGGAGCAGCTGCGGCTGTTTCTTTCTCTTTTTTTTCTTTCTTTATCTTTATTTTTTTTAATTAATTTTTATTGGAGTATAGTTGCTTTACAATGTTGTGTTAGTTTCTACTGTACAGCAAAATGAATCAGCTATACATATACATATATCCACGTTTTTTTGGATTTCCTTCCCATTTCCGCCATTTCTAATTTCTATCACCCCATCCACCTCTCCGCATCTCTTTTTCTTGATGCTTCTGTCTCCTTTCCCTTAGGCCTTGGAGCTGCAGTGACTTGGTTCCTGTCCCTTCCTGAGTTGTGGAGGCTCCTTTTTCTTCATCTGAGAGTCACCCCGCACTGGTGTAATCTGCCTCCGGGTCATCTTCATTAGTTTCACCTGCTCAGAAGACCCCATCAGCAGGGCCAGCATCCATTCTTTTACTCCTTTGATCTGGGTACCAAAGGCTGTCATTCAGGTAACTTACATGTCAACACCTAGAAACTAGTTTATAATCATCTCCTGATTTCATATTGGAGAAGCTGACTCAAAGCCATCACGTGGGGCTTGCCTGGTGGCGCAGTGGTTAAGAATCCGCCTGCCAAGGCAGGGGACACGAGTTCGAGCCCTGGTCCAGGAAGATCCCACATGCTTCGGAGCAACTAAGCCCATGAGCCACAACTACTGAGCCTGCGCTCTAGAGCCCGTGAGCCACAACTACTGAAGCCCGCGCGCCTAGAACCTGTGCTCCACAGCAAGAGAAGCCCCCGCAATGAGAAGCCCGCGCACCGCAACCAAGAGTAGTCCCTGCTCGCCGCAACTAGAGAAAGCCCGCACGCAGCAATGAAGACCCAACACAGCCAAAAAGAAATAAATTCATTTATTTTAGAAAGCCATCAAGTGGTTTAAACAGCAAGAGTATTTAATATCCTCAAATAGAACCACATCAGCAAATAGAACCACATCCCAACTTAATTTGAGCTGTTCAGATATTTCCTGTTTTTAAAAAAATACAGTTCTATGGAAAATCTACTATTCTAAGCCCCAGTCAGAATTTCAAATTACTAGAATCTACTGGAAATAAATATCTGGAGGAGCTGTTTGCCAAATTTATCTCAAATGTTCTTATATTTAGAATTCTAATCTCTCAAAAACATAGAGTATAATGCTTCTTAAATAGAATTCTTTCTAAGACGAAGAATGTTTATTTCCAAATCCTAGAACCACCATCTTGCCTGACTCTTTGGTCTCATTTAAGACCAGTAATGAAGGCAACACCTCAGACAATACCCTTAAGAGGCAGAAGCTATTTCTATAAAATCTCCACATTAAACTCCTGGGACTTAAGTTTCCCAAGCCTGAGCTTAAGGGGCTTCCACTGGGGCGCAGACAACATGCAAATAAACCTAGGGCTTGCTGACTCCTTCCACGTGGGGCCACTTGTCACCTTGCAGCTGAGGAAGACAATGCCAACAGTTACCACCTGGGATCTTTCCCATTCCGGGTAGAAAGTAACCCCACCACCAAAGTCCAGGGAACTTAACAGCAACGTTAAACATCAGTACAATGATCTGAAATCGTTGCCAAAACTCTTTCTGTCTGTGCAGTTTCATAGGGGAAATTAGCAAAGAGCCTTGAAGCGCACGCTGGAGGTGTAGTGGGTACAGATGGACAGATACACGGCAACCTGCCCCCAGTTCTCCTGCGTAACTAACAGAGCCCTGAGGCACTTGGGCATCCGCCTCTCCCCCAGGACACTCAGCCTGGACCAGTCCTGGAGGGGGGTCCTGATAAACCACGACATCACTGAGCTGCCCAGTCCACCGATGGGGAGGCCCACCACCCCCTGGAGGATGCTGCTAAGTGACAATGACAGCCTTATTGTCCAGGCCAAGGGGAGTTAGTCTTTTCTGCTACTTACAGCTGAAAACATCCTAAATGGTAAAAGGTTTTACTTATTGATACCACTCATGTTACCTTTGCCACGGTCTCTAAAGCTATAAAATTCTAGGACTGGGATGAGGGAAAAGGCAACTCAAGTACCTAAGACAGTGAGTACGTTTTATCTTCAAATGCTAAGGAGAGTGATAAACACTGGCAGATCTTTTAATGTTATAATTCAATTTATAAAGACAGATTCTCAGCTCCTGATGTCTGCCAGTAAGTCTAATGGAACCCATTTGTGGAGTCCAAGGAAAAAGCTCAAAACTCTACACTGCATTTTTTTTTTTTTTTTTTTTTTTT